CAAACTGTCCAATCAAAAGACAGAGACTGGCAGAATGGATAAAACACATGATTCAATTATATGCTGTATACAAGAGACTCACTGTATACTCAAAGACACAAATAGGCTGAATGTGAAAAGATAGAAAAAGATATTCCATGCAAATAATAACCAAAAGAGAGCAAAGGTGGCTCTAATAGCAGATAAAACAGTCTTTAAATAGAAAAAGACAAGACAAAGAAAGACATTATATATTAATAAAAGGTTCGATACATCAAGAAGATATAACAATTATAGACATTTATGCATCTAGTAACAGACTAGCAAAATATATGAAGCAAAAACTGACAAAATTGAAGGGAGAAATACAGTTGTTTCTTTTTTTTTTTTTAACTTTTATTTAAGTATTCTCTATATCCAACACGGGGCTCTGACCCTGAGATCAAGAATCACATGCTCTTCCAAATGAGCCAGCCAGGTGCTCCAGAAATACAGTTCTATAATAATTGTTGGAGACTTCAATACCTATTTTTAATAATGGGCAGAACCAGACAGAAGGAAGTGAGGAAATAATGGACTTAAAACAACACAATAAACCAACTAGATCTAATGGACATATAGTACTCTCTACCCAACAACAGAACACACACCTTTTCAAGCACACGCAGGACACTTTCCAGGACAAACCATATATTAGGCCATAAATTAAGTCTCAATATATTTAAAAATATAGATATCACACAAAGTATTTTCTCCAATCACAAGATGAAGTTAGAAATCAATAAAAGAAGTAAAATTGGAAAAAAAATCACTAATTTGTGGAAATTAACATAATCAACCGAAGAAGAAATCACAGGGGAAATTAAAGATACTTAGAGGTGAATAAAAATGAAAACACAGCATACCAAAACTTACAGGACACAGTGAAAACAGTATTAAGGAAGCTATTCAACAATAAATACTTATATTAAAAAACAAGGAAGAATCAAATCAACATCCTAACCTTACAACTTAAGGAGCCAAAAAAAAAAAACCCAAAGTAAACCTTTATAGAAAGAGATAAAAGAGATTAGAGAAAAGACAAATGAAATTCAGAATAGAAAACCAATAGGAAAAAAATCAATGAAAATAAACATTGGTTTTTTGAAAGGATCAACAAAATTGACAACCTTTAGCTAGATGGACTTAGAAAAAAAGAAAGATGACTCAAATTGCATAAATCAGAAATGAAACTGGGACATCACTACTAATTCTACAGAAATAAAAAGGATGAGAGCACTATGAAAAATCATATGCCAACAAGTTGGATAACCTAGATGAATTAAATTCCTAACAACACAAAACCTACCAGGACTAAATCTTGAAGAAATAGAATATCTGAACAGCTCTATAATTAGAAAGGAGATTTCATCAGTAATCAAAAATCTCCTGGCAACTAAAAGCTCTAGATCTGATAACTTTATGGGTGAATGCCACTAAATATTTACATAACTAATACCAATGCTAAAAACTTTTCCAAAGAAATTGAAAAGTAGGGAACTCTTAACTCATTCTATGAATCTAACATTACCCTGATACCAAAGCTAGACAAAGACACTACAAGAAAACTACAGAATAATAATCCTTATGAACATGGATGCAAAAATCCTCAACAAAATAGTAGCAAATCAAATTCAGCAACATATTAAAAGAATTATACACCATTACAAAGTGGGCTTTATTCCTGGAATGCAAGGATGGTTTAACACACAAAAATCAACCAATGTGATATACCTTATTAACAGAATGAAGGAAACCACTTAATCATCTTAATTGATGAAGAAAAAGCATTTGACAAAATGAAATACCCTTTATGAAAAAAATACTCAACAAGCTAGGGATAGAAAAAAAAAAAACTACCTCCAAATAGTAAAAGCCATATATGAAAAGCCCATAGCAAACATCATACTCAATGTTGAAAGACTGGAAGGTTTTCCTCTAAGATCAGGAACAAGGCAAGGCTGCCTGCTTTCACCACTTCTATTCAACAGATCTGGATGTTCTAGCCAGAGCAATTAGGCAAGACAAACAAATAAAAAAGCATCCAAACTAGAAAGGAAGAAGTAAAATTATCTCTGTTCACAGATGAATGATCTTTTATGTTAAAAACTCTAAAGAATCCACACAAAAACTGGTAGGACTATATAAATAAATTCAGGATACAAAGTCAACACACAATTCAAGAGCATTTTATACATAAACAATGAACAATATGGAAAGGAAATGACAAAAACAATTTCATATAATATCAAAATGAATAAAATACTTGGGAATTAACCAAGGAGACTAAAGACTTGCACAATGAAAACTGCAAATCATTACTGAAAGAAATTAAAGACCTAAATGGAAATATGCCCATGTTCACGGATTGGAAGATTTAATATTGTTAAGATGTTCATTTTACCCAAAGTGATCTACAAATTTAATACAATCTATAAAAATCTCTCAGTGACGATTTTTGGACAAATTGAAAACCCATCCTAAATGGATCCACATGGAATCTCAAGGGACTCTGAAAAGCCAAAACAACCTTGAAAAAGAACAAAACTGGAGGACTCACACTTGCTAATTTCAAAGCTTACTACAAAGCTCTAATAATTAAAATAGTATGGTACTTGTATAAAGACAGACACACAGACCGATGGAAATGAATAGACAGCCCAGAAATAAACCCTCACATACACATGATTTTTGACAAAGGTGCCAAGTCTATTCAATGAGGAAAGGACAGTCTTTTCAACAAATAGTACTGGGGAAACTGGACATCCACATGCAAAAGAATGAAGCTGGACTTTTACCCAACACCATATACAGAAATTAACTCAAAATGGATCCATGACCTAAAGGTAAGATTTAAAACTACATAAAACTCTTAGAAGAAACATAGGGTCCAAGCTTAATGACACTGGATTCGGTGGTGATTTACTGGATGTGACACTAAAGGCACAGGTAACAACAACAAAATAAACAAATTGGCTTACAGGAAAAACTTTAAAAAAATTGTGTAAAGTGCAAGGATAAAGATAAGTCAGTCACGAAAAGACAAATACTTTGATTCTACCCACATGAGGTATGAAAGAATAGTTAAATTCATAGAGACAGAAAGTAGAATGTGGTTGCCAGGGGCTGAAGTAGGGGAGAGTACAGTGATTACTGTTTAATGGGCACAGAATTTCAGTTTTATAAGATGACATGTCCTGGAGATGGATGGTATTGACGGTTGTACAACATTATGAATGTATTTAATGATACTCAACTGTATACTTAAAAATGGTGAAGTTTATGGTAAATTTTATGTTACGTGTATTTTACCACATTAAAAACCTTTTTTAAAGAAAAAGTGGAGATGGGAGACTTATTTTAGTAGCTTGGGTTAACCAAACACATATATTACCTATTAAAAAGGTTTTTAAAATTTCTAAAACCTTAATTTTCAAAAATATTCAATGCGCATATTCTCAGTGTTGATGCTTTCCACCTAAAGAGCAGAAAACAAACATCAGTACTGTGGACATCACTGTGAAGTGTTTGGTGTCAGGAACTTTTTTTTTTTTTAAGATTTTACTTATTTATTTGAGAGAGAGAGAGAGAGAGAAAGCACGAGAGAGGGGAGGGTTAGAGGGAGAAGCAGACTCCCTGCTAAGCAGGGAGCATGACTCAGGATTCTATCTAGGGACTCTGGGATCATGACCTGAGCTGAAGGCAGATGCCCAACCAACTGAGCCACCCAGGAACCCTTGGTGTCAGAAACTTCTGGAAGGCCTTGGGTAGAATTGATTGTATGGCTACCTCGGTTAACTAAAGGGCAGCTAAAAACAGCCTATTAAATTTCTAGGCACCCAGGGCTCTTCTCAGATATGAGGCAATTATGGCACAAAACTGTTGGGTGGCCTGAACACTTTCCAGACTAATGAATATTCTGTCAATTTTTTAAAATTTAAATTTTGACTAGAGTTCCAAGAGTTACAGGTTTTGTTTTTTTTTTTTTTTTAAAGATTTTATTTATTTATTTGAGAGAGAGAATGAGATAGAGAGAGCATGAGAGGGGGGAGGGTCAGAGGGAGAAGCAGACTCCCTGCTGAGCAGGGAGCCCGATGCGGGACTCGATCCCAGGACTCCAGGATCATGACCCAAGCCGAAGGCAGACGCTTAACCAACTGAGCCACCCAGGTGTCCCAAGAGTTACAGGTTTTTACCTATCCTTGTGGGTCGCCCACATCCTTTTTTTGGAATAGGGGTATCTGCAGGGGAATCTGGAGTAAGTGGGGAAAACGGTTAACAGAGCAGCAATTTAAAAACCACAGGAAGCTTTAGTAAGCTCAGAGTTCCTATCCATGTCAAACACGGCCTGGAAGTCAGAAAAAGAAATGATTTTCAGGGCAAACAGGTCGAGGTGCTATTTTTAGGGAAATGGGAAAGAAAATGCAGGAATCAAAGTGGATTTTTTTTTTTTTAAAGAGTTATTTATTTTAGAGAGAGAGTGAGGGAGCATGCATGCGAGTTGCGGGGGTGGGGGGGGAAGGACAGAGGGAGAGGGAGAGAGTCTTAAGCTGACTCCACACTCAGCACAGCCTGACCCAGTGCTCGATCTCATGACCCTGAGATCAGGACCTGAGCCAAAAACAAGAGTTGGACACTTAACTGACTGAGCCATTTGAGTGCCCCATCAAATTGGATCTAGTGGTTAGTAGCTTGCTTGGGGGTAGGGAAGGGGGAACATGCTGGATATTGAAAAATGATACCTTTTCTCCACCAAACACTTTGATTCTGGAACACAGATTTACAAGAATTATGAGGCTCTTCCTCCTGTATCTGTCCTTACCTCCTGCCGCATACCTAATTCTTTTATGTATCATAGAGGTTTTGACTTCACAGGGCTGTACCTTGAAGCAGGAGTTCAGAGGAAAAAATAGTGTTTGACAGACCTGCATTACTTTATCTCCACACTTTGAGAGAGAGAAAAAAAAAAATCTAATACTTACTGATATTCAGCCACACAGTCCAGTAGACCTACATACTTTAAGGTATCATGCTGAACAGCGCTTTCAAGAGCTCGCACTCCACTGACATCTTTCAGGATATGCTGGACACTTTCGATATATCCAGATTCAAGATTCTCATCACTCTCTTTCAAGTCTCTTTGGGGTGCAAGTATCCTTTCCAAGGCTTTATGGAACCGTTTCCCTTGTAAAAATATATCTGAAAAGAAAATCAGGGGAAAAAGAAAAATAAGAACAAAGCTAGTACTAAAAAACAAATACTTAAAAACCTCTGGACAATAAAATTAGAAATTATATTAAGTTACCTTTAAGTGACAACTGCTAAGATACCACATTTTAGTCTCCTGTGAAATCTAAAAATGCACTTTGAAAAGCAAAGGGACGAAAATAGTTTGAACAATAAAATGAATTAAAATAAAGAATTTCTAGTAGAATTAGGCCAAAGCTACAATTGAAGATCTGGGGGCAAAAGGACCACACCTAGTGTACCATACTGTGATTTTAAGTATCCATTTTAGTAACTTCTGTTCAGTTTTTTTTTTTACAACAAACACTGAATTAATGAATATAGGTGGGAGAATCCTTTTACTAACAGGCTTAGTGAATGGTAAGGAATGAAAATCAAGGCATATACAAATCAAAACCAAATTGGATGTTTTGGGGCTTGGGGGCAAGAGGAAATATCTAACACTCTTCTGCACTTTTTGGGGGGGCTAGAACAGCTTAAGACAGTTGCTCTGTCCTGAAAATTTTCCTCATGTGCTTAAGAAAAATTTGATGTATAATGGAGATTGTATTCGTTTCAGATATTCAACATAATGATTTGATATCTGTATATCCTCACACACTTTAAAGTTAAGAAAACAAACAAATCCAAGAAATTGTACAAATTCACTTCATCCTTGATAAGGGAAGGAAACAAAGAGGAGGCATTGTGCTAAGCAGTGGCCTTGGCGCTTTCAAAATATTATTTAACTTTCAAACACAACAACCCAGCAAGAATCATTACCCCCAGTTTAATGAATGAGGCCTACACAATGCTGTTAATTTGCCCCAAGGCAAAAAAGGTAGACTAACAGCCTGGCACCAGAGTCCATGTTCAATTCCAGTCCATCATACAACAGAGTAAGGCAAAATCGGGGACCATCATTTAGATATACACAGAAGCACAGTAGGAAATATACATGCATAGAGATAGACCCATAGAAAATGAGGAAAATTTGATCTAATAAGGTAATTTTAAACCATATTTTACATTTGTCAAATACTATTTTACCAGGATTTTGAAAGGTCAGTTACCACTGTCAAAAAATGGAATCACTTCTGGGAAATTACTTGGAGAGTTAAATGAAATTCAACTGAAGAACTGAGCTATTACACTCCAAATTTACTCGGTTCAATTGGACTTATTAGCATATGAAAGGCCTACAAGATTTTTAGGACAGATGGAATTAAAATCTAGGTAAAAGTACAGCATTCATCTATAGACAAGCCTAATGAAGCAGAACACAAACATGGTCAAAACAGGAAGAAAACAAACTGCTTTATCAATTTCCAAGCAAATAAACAATTCATTTTCCACTGCAGACTTAACCCTTGGCTGGGTTCTTCACATAAAAGAGGCAGCAAACAAACAAAAAAAATTTAAAAATTAAAAAAATTAAAAAGAGGCAGCAAACATGGGAATCTAGATTATAGGATCCCCTAGATTGTAAGGCTCAGAACATTAAATATGACTGAATTTGTCTAAGTAAATTTTATTATTTTGGGGGGTTTTATTTATTTGAGAGAGCAAGCATGAGCAGGGGGAAGGGGCAGAGGGAGAGGGAGAAGTACACTCCCCACTGAGGAGGGAGCCTGATACAGGACTTGATTCCAGGATTCTGGGATCATGACCTGAGCCAAAGGTAGACCCTTAACTGACTGAGCCACCTAGGCACCCCTATCTAAGTAAATTTTAAAAAGCACAAGATTTATTGCAGATAGCATCAAGTCAGAATATTCATTCAGTAAATTAAATTGACCAATGAAAGTGAAATGTTTTCAAGTCCCAGTATGTAAAATGCATTTAAAAAAAAAATCCATGAGTCTCTAAGATTCTGACTGATAAACTGGCAGGATGGATAATATTTTAAGATTAAAAAGTCACTACAGCAATAAACTGGAAAAAATAAACCCCATCCCTTTTCACTATGATCAACACTTAAATATAAATCCAAGTCAGACTTTCTTATCCTTGGCAATCTTCAAAAGGTAAACTGATGCTTGAGAAATTGACCAAGTTGAGAATGCCAGCTCTGGGCACATCTCTATGCTCTAGCCTTTGGAAGAGCAGGCGGAAAGGAATTTATCAGTACAGTATTTTAAAAAACTGCCTCTCCTGACCCATTAATCAATTTAGTGGGCAATGACATGCTTTTTCATTCTTTTCTTCCCTTCCTTTTTGGTGGTAGGGGGGAGGATGACACTAATCCTGTGATTGCCCCTTATGAAAAAAAGTGATTCTGCCTGTTTCTTAAAATTGATCCTGAGTTAACTGAGAAACACATCAGAGTAATAATCTAGATCAACAACGCTGATTATATGGAAAACAACCATAGTTTTATCTCTGCTTGGGATAGTGGAGCACCTTCACATTCCCAACAGAAATTCCTTTCCTTTATCAAGGAGGCCTCCAGAGTACTTTTTTACTTTGTGCCAAGGGCTACAAGTCCTAGGTTCCCAAACTCCTAGCAGGTTTCTGCCTTTACTTTTCTTACCAGTGATTTCAGGATCCCCACAAACTATGACATTCCAGATAAAAAACAACTTCCCCTGAGGAAAAAATGTCTATTCTAAATCCTAGTGGTACAAATAAAAAACATAAGATGCCATTAAAAAATTTCACTTTATGTTGCTTATTTAGAAAGCAAAGAATAGCTTATTAGTGTTGTTACTTATTACCTAAAGGCAGCTCCCACATCTATTCCTCCCCCCACACAGCTGAGGAATGTTCTAAAGGACGAGGACCTTGACCTTTTTTTGCCATATCCAGGTGCTGTCTATATACTTAATATATGTGACACGTTTAATGTGTTACCCACACAGTTTTTTCTAAGATGCCACAAAATAAGTGCATTACTCTTAAAATTAAAAGTGCTCTCTACCAACCACTAGGGAAGCATGGGCTAAGGAATGATCAACAAAAAACCTAGCTTTAATAGAAGACAACTATATGATCCTGATGGGGACCAGCTAATTCACCTGTGCCAATGGTCTTTCACCTTGCTTCTGAATGGAGCCTGTTTTAAGGAAGCTATTCTCCTCACCTGTCTAAAAAGTCAGTAAATTAGGAGTTGAAAGCTAAAGTTTATTTATTCTGTTACCAATCAAGAGCATCAGATTATCTCAATTTACCAAAATCTAAATACAAATCACGTGTTCCGGTTTACTCCAAGTCTTTAAATTTACATGTCAATAAGGATAAGTAGAGCAAGGGGTATTTACTACATTCTGAATAGAATGCCTAGCAAACAAATAGAATTCCATTATCAGGTGACTGATTCTTTTCCTTAATCAAAGAAAACAGGCAACTTTAATACTTAAGTTTGTAGTTTATGAAAGAATTTTCTACATCATTTAGCCAAATTACTTGCTCTCTGTGCTTCAGTTTCATCTGTGAAATGAGAATAATAGTATATATGCTGCATAGGGTTGTTATGATGATTGAGTTAATACACAAACTGCTATTTGATGCTAATTATCACTTGAAAGCAGTGCCTCACTAGTTCAGGTCAAAAACACCCTCACTCTTTTGACACTGTTCTATATTCTAGAAAACACAGTAACCATACAGAACCAGGATTGAAAAAATTACTTGAAGAATATTCGGCAAAGCCATCCTCTCCCAGTTCCAGAATCATCCGCTGTTTCCACCTCTCCAAGAAGAAAATCTGTTCTGATGTCATGGTCTGCTGAAGGATCTTGGTCACACTTGGTATGGTATTTCTTTGCAAAGGGATTCTCAAAGGAACTGTAGGAGTACTTGTTGCATTTGGTTTTACACTTCTCTCTGGGATTAAGAGAGGACACCAGTTTCCTGGAGCTTTTGCTTCCTCATTTTGCTTTGGGGGCTTACACTTACTCACAGGTCCATAGAGTAAATCATCTTCCTCAAACAATGATTCTGGAGTCTGAGCAAGGCCTCTGGATGACAAGACAGACTGTACTAACTCAGAGTACTTTTCTTGGTCTACTTCTTTATAAGGGTTCACTTTTTTCTTCCGGCTACAAGAATAAGAGGAAGTGGAAAAATCCACATGGGCGGTTGGTTCTAGAGAAAACCCCTTTGAACTTCTGAGCTGTCTGCAGATGGTGTGAAACGCCTTCATCTTTAGATGCTTTCTCACTTCCCCCTAGGCTACTTGCAATGTTGAGGGCCTTTTATTTTTGCACTCCTAGTAAAGAGAAAAGTGGAGTTAGATACCAATGTATTAAATATTTGAACGGCTGAAATGCAAGCTGCATCAGTACGATAAGGCGCATTAACCTGCATTCCGTTAAGCTTTTTCGACATGTTTGGACAAAGCTATTTCCAAAGAAAGACTCTCTTTAATAGCCAGAACGACCAGCACTTGTTAAGTGTGAAATAGTACAGCTTGGGGCAAGACGTCCCCAATATTCAATCCGAAGAACTGGGAAGCCTAGGAGGGGAGGCATGTGTGAGACGGAGAAAGAACGCTACAGCTCGTCCTATACCGGCCACGACGGTCACGGTGAACCACTGATCCCTAGATACCAGGCTCCCTGCTAAGTATTCCAGGAGAAGACTTCTCACTAAACTCTCACACCCTTTAAGGTGGTTACTTCTGCGACATCGTTTTACAGACTGAAGGGTCCCACCAGGAAAGAGCGGGTAAGCGGTGGTCAGCGAGGCCCATCATGTGATCCCCAGAACGGGGCCTCCCGCTCCGCCATACGTGGGGAACCACAGTGAGGACAGGACGGCTGGGGCCCCTGGTGTGGGAGTCAGGATTAGGAACAGATGGCTTAAATAGAAGCCCAGCTCACGGCCCGGACAGGTACCTCAGGAGCCACCAGACTTCACTTAACTTCCAGAGCGCCGACAACCTCTCGGGACCCGTACTTTCCTCGGTCCCGCGCTCTGATCTCGAGTTAGGCTCCGCCTAAGGGGCGGTGGTACCGGCATGCACTGCGGCGCAGCTAGCCTCTCCTTCACTGCTACAGACACTCCCGAGATCCTTGGGGAGTCCCTCCCCTCAGGCGTTAGCGCGGGCTCCTCCAAATCGCGCCCTTACGCTCTCACGATATCTTGTTTACGTCACAGCCTGTCGCCATCTTGGACTCTGGCTAAGTAATAAATTGCCCCGCGCAAGAGCGTGGGATTTCTTGAGACGCGCGTTGCTGAGAGTACCCGTTGCTCCGAGTCGTTGTCGCGGCCCTGCGGTCGGCCGTTTCCGCGTGGCCCGGAGCGAGGGTAGGCCACGCGTAGCTTTTTTGCCCGGCTCCAAGATGGACGGCAGCGGGGACGGGGGAGGCCGCTCTGGGGGAGCACGTGGCGCGCCGCTGGCCTTTCCCGGGGCTGCTGGGATGGTGGCGGAGTCCGGAGGCCTCCCGCCGCGGTCGGGCAGGGAGGCTGGCGGAGGCGGGGCCGCGGCCGCCCCTGAGAGGCGCCCCGGAGGCGGCGGCGGCCCAGCCTCTTCTTTCCCCGCACAGCCAGAAGGCCCCCGCTCGAGGCCCGCGTCGCCATGGCCGCGGTTCCCGAGTTGCTGCAGCAGCAGGAGGAGGACTGCAGCAAGGTGAGGCCCTCCTCGCCCTCATGCTCCAGGACGGGAGGCCCCGCCGACCTCCCGGAGCCCCACATTCCTTCCCCTATTCCTCGGGGGCCGCTCCTGCAGCTCTGTTTCCCCGCAAAATCCACCCCCACCCCCCGGCCACGCGGAGGCACCCGCCGGACCCCGCGCGCCCTTTGCTCCCTCCTCTTTGAGGGCCGCAGACCCGAGGCGAGAGCGAGCATCGCGGGACGGGTCCTGGTAGCACGCGTCCGGGTGTCCGGTACCGAGGGCGCGCGGCGAGTCTCTGGAGCTTCTCTCTGGAGACTCGAAAACTACTCTCACGTAAAAAGTTGTGAAAACTCCTCTGGCTTTGTAAAGATTTGACGGTGAATGTGAAATCCACTTATGCAGTAAATGGCATATTTTGGTTTTGTTGCCTTCGAACTGCACCCCCACCCCCCCTTTTGGGAAAGCTTTTTGGCCCATATACTGGGGAAATTCCATCAAGTCAAATCTGAAGCATGTTCTTTAGAACTTTGTAAACGCCAAATGCGTCACTGCGGGAATTTTGTCATTTTTTAGTAGGTACTCAAATACTTGTTAAACTTAGTTTTTCCTTCCAAAAACTTTTGTGTTTATGTAAGCTAGCCCTATGCCCCTTAAATCTTGAGGTCTAAAAGAAAACTAACGCAGTAAGTTCAGGTTATCTTTCATTGGTCGTTTACACTTGTTAGTTTCGCAATTCATAGAGGTGGGTACGAGCCACAAGGTTATGTGCAGAATCATCATCGTGAAAGTTTTTCTGACAAAATTAAAGAAACTTAAGAATACAAAGCTCTCTCAAATGTAAGTAACCTGGAGGGCATCTTACAGAGTTCCATCTACTTAGAAGTCAAAGGCATCCTTTGATCCACACACAGCACGTGTGGAGAGACTTTTCTTCATCTAGGAAGTACAGAAGTTAACACACAGCTAGTTGGATTCTTCCAACAAGGGTATCATTGCTACGTTAGTTATTGAAATGCAACTTTGTGTGTGAGGTAGGGCTCTTGATTGGGGGGTTTTTTTTTTTTTGAGAGTTGAAGTGTTTTTTTTTAACTAAAAGTGGAAGCTTGGTCATGATTCTTTTTAGAATACTATAGACATAGTTTTTTCTGAAGAAGTTTAGATGCTGAATAGGAATTTTGACGGCAATTTGACGACCCCCTCCCCTCAATCTGGTACCTCATCTCTTGATCCAGAATCTGTTTCATATCGCTATTTAAAAGGACTTAACTCCTTCAACTGACCTTCTTATGTTACTGCACTGTATTGTAGCGGGCTTTTAAAGTAATTTTCCCACTACTCTGAGCTCCAGTAGAATTGGAGGATTATAAAGGCTATTCCCTGCCAGTTTTAGTGGATACAGGAAAGGATTATACAGCATTATTAAGTTACAGAAATCAGGAAATAAAAAAACTTAATAAAATACTACTCTTACTCATGGCTTTGTTTTACCCCCCACCCTTTTTTTAAAGATTTTATTTATTTGAGGAAGCCACAGGCAAGGGGGAGGGGCAGAGGGAGAAGGTGAACAGGCTCTCCGCTGAGCAGGGAGCCCGATGTGGGACTCACTGGGACCCTGGGATCATGACCTGAGCCGAAGGCAGGCGCTTAACGGGCTGAGCCACCCAGGCACCCTCATTTTGCTTTCTTATGTCTGTGATGTTAGCCCTGTGCTGTGGATTGAGTCTAAGTGGTTTTCACTGTTAAGCAAAAGGGAGTTTGGGACAAATGTGAAATAACAGGAAGTCAAATCTTGGGCAAACTATTTTCTTGCCATAATACAGCTTTTAGTCAAGTGAAGTATTTTACATTTTTACAGAAAATGTTTTAAGTGTAAACCTCCCATATACTTACGGATTTACATGAGGATAGGGGTTCATGGGGTTTAGATCCACTAATAAAGTAGGGAATGTAATTGACTCGAGAATTTTGAACAGTCATGCAGCAAGTACTTTTTTCAGCTTGGTCAGCAAAACTAAAAGGAGTATTGGTTTGTATCTGGTAGCCTGATATTTCCGTTTAGTTACATCCGTTAGTTGAGGGTGTTGGGATTTGTCTCCTTTCCCAGAAAGCAGTTGAGGAAAAGAGATACATGATTAATTTTGTTTTTTTAACTCCACTTTAGTAGTAGGAAAGATTGTATTTTGATCTTTAGAAAAGTAAGGTTTTACCAAGTCTAGCTCCTGAAAGGGTTAAAATATTAACCCATTTTAGGCCTTATCGTCATGATAAACTAGTACTGAGATTCCCCATTCCTCCAGAGTTCTCTGGTGTCTTGGAGTTTTTCATGGGTAGGCGAAAATAATTGGAGATTATGCAGGACCTTGTTTTTGCAAATTAGTTACCCTGGCCTTCAGTCATTTTGTGCTTTTCCAGGCTTTCTGGGCCTTCCCTTTGCCAAAAAGTCATTAAAATAGGTGGGCAGCATGTTTTTGAGTTTCTACTTAGAGTGTCATTGTGTATCTTTCTAAGTTGATGAGTCTCATTCCTGTTAGTCTAGCAAACCTATGGTAAATTGAATTGTGGGTCTTGATTGCCTCTTGGACTTTTTTTTTAAATGATAAATTGCTACTAGAGTGTAGTTAAGTTTAACACATAAGAAAAGCTGAGGTGATACTCCTCCCCATCTACCGCCATTACAGCTTAGCCCTTAACTAGTTGGTTATGTGGAATTTGGTTGAATGGGGTCTCCTCAGCCAGTCATTAATGTTTATGGTGCTGCTCTGGTTTGCAACTAGTTGTTTTTATTTTATTTATTTAAGGATTTTATTTATTTTGGAGACAGCACGAGTGGGAGGGGCAGAGGGGAAGGTAGAGATAGAACCTTAGCAGGCTCCACGCAACGTGGAACCTGAGTGGAGCCTGACTGGGGGGTGCAATCCCAGGACCCTGAGATCATGACCTGAGCTGAAACCAAGAGTCAGATGCTTAACAGACTGCTACCCAGGCGCCCTGTGTGTTTTGGTTGTTTTTTAAAGATTTTATTTATTTGTGGAAGTTGTGGGGACACTATTCTCTTTCAGCTTGAATGAAGAGTGACCTACAGTTTGTTATAGGAACAATCTTGAACTTTTAACAATACTACAGCAAGTCCAAATTTACTAATTTTTGTGGACTAAAGTTTATACTAAATGGTTGACTTCATTTTTCTCCTAATTTTCTACATGCCAGAAGTGTGACTTAATCAGAGCTGCCCAAACCTTAGTTCTGGATCAGTAACTTGTACACTGTGTCTGAGGATCCTTATTTGTGAATACTACTTTGGCAGGTCATAATCTGCTCACATTTTGTTTTTGGCTGTGAGGAAAAAGTGGCCAGGGGAGAATTTTCTACACTTTGAGATTCTCATTTGGTGAGACCTAACCATCTAATATAGAGCTTTATTTTATTTTATTTTTTTAAAGATTTTATTTATTTATTTGACAGAGAGACAGCGAGAGCAGGAACACAAGCAGGGGGAGTGGGAGAGGGAGAGAAGCAGGCTTCCTGCTGAGCAGGGAGCCCGATGTGGGACTCGATCCCAGGACCCTGGGATCATGACCTGAGCCGAAGGCAGACGCTTAACGACTGAGCCACCCAGGCGCCCTAGAGCTTTAGTTTAAAGCAGGATTTCTCAATCTAAATACTGTGGACATTTTTTGCTTGATAATTTTTTGTTGTGGTGAACTGTCCTGTGCATTGTAGGGTGTTCATTAGTATTCCTGGCCTCTATTAGGTGATCGCTCCCTTCCCTCCAGTAGTGAGAGTAAAATTACGCATTGTCAAAGGTCCCTTGAGAATCACTTCGTAACTTTTCTCCCTAAAATGTGTGGTATGTGTGGGTCAGTTTGTGTTACAGAGGTTAATATATAGTAAGCCCATTTCAGATTTTGTCAGATCTAGGATTGATAAATCCTAAGGAAATAATATGCTGTATAAAAACATAAGCATTGTTGACCATCTTTGGAATTAGCTTTCTTACCAGTATTGAGGAACCATAACAAAAGATGGTAAAAGGTGGTATTTATTCTTCAGCAGGTTCTGGGCAGTTGAAGGTTACAGGGGCAGCTTGTTTACCATGGTGGAGTTCAGTGCCACTTCGGAAACCTGAGGCTGCTGAGGCTCTGACACAGCACTCGCGGAGCATTGTGGGCCGAGATGCAAGCTCACGGAGAAGCGTGCTGTGGGTAGAACTGGTGTAAAATCCTGCTT